GCAGAATCACCTGAGTTTGGGAGTTCGAGACTAGCCTGAAACACATAGAGAAACTCCGTCTCCACTAAACAACAAAATACAAAATTAGCCGGGCATAGCGGCGTGCACCTGTGGTCCCAGCTACTCAGGAGGCTGAGGCAAGATAATTGCTTTAACCCGGGAGGCAGAGGTTGCAGTGAGCCGAGATTGCGCCACTGCACTCCAGCCTGGGTGACAACATCGAAACTCCGTCTCAAAAAACAAAACAAAACAAAACAAACAAAAAACACCTACTGCCTCACTGAATTAAAAGCGTGTTCAGCAGTTTCTTTGTTGTTTCAAAGAGTGGCATCTGCTTCAGCAGGATCAGTTTTAATGTATTTGTTTTGTTTCTTTTTTCTCTGGTGTTCTTTTCTATTGTATTATAATTTTTTTTATTGGGGATGAGGTTTTCATAGTACTGAATATTAAACATATAGCATGTATGATTCGCCTAATTTCCTTGTTTTAGTCCTCTATACAGATTTTATATAGCAAAAGAATCATTTAAAGGCTTGGTTACAAATGTTTTTTATTTTACCTCTGGCATGCCTTGGGCTGAGAAAGCATTATATGGTGGAACAATATTTGTAACATTCTCGTAGCCATCTGGTGTTGGTTCGAAGTATGATGTTTTGAAAATCTAGCAAGAATTAGAACATGTCAAGTTGGAGAGAAAATTCCAGCTTATTATTAAGATAATTCATTTCCTCCAAGTATATACTTCAGATTAAGCATCCTGGAACTAGGTCTATATTAAATAGATAAATTACACTGACAACAATGAAAAGAGCCTTATCATTATTATTTTTGCTGCTTGTCAGAGAACAGAGACATTTTGGGAAAAAAATTAGATCTTAATATCCACAGGGACCACTTGGGCACTTCCATGTTTAACTTATCTGTTTCTACTGTTGATTGTATCATCGATGCAGCTGCTTATTGATCTCATTGATGTCAAAGTGCATGCATTTTTATTTTTAATATCCCCTTAGTGCTTAGTTCTTGCCTTTTACCCAAAAAGTACAGGCTTGCTGAATTTAATTTGGGCAGTGTTCTCTTGATTCTGGATGCAAATGAGTTGTAACATTTAAGTGACCTCACAAACTTAGTTCTTAGTGAGATTTATTTTACTTGATGGGAGTGGAATTAATCTTTTTTGTTTTTTTTTTTTTTTTTTTTTTTTTTTTTTTTTTTTTGAGACAGAGTCTTGCTCTTGTAGCCGCAGGTTGGAGTGCAAGTGGCGCGATCTTGACCTGGCTCACTGCAAACTCTCCACTCCCAGGTTCACGCCATTCTCCTCCTCAGCCTCTCTGAGTAGCTGGGACTACAGGGCCTTCCGCACCAGCCACTCTGTGTCCAACCCGGGCTAATAGGATAAATTTTTATGTTTTATGTTGGAGCTAGAGACGGGGTTTTCACCGAGGTCTGCAGGGAGTCTACTCCTCGCATCTCTTCGTGATTCTCGCGTCGGCCCATGAGGCCTCTCTCCCAGCTGTGGGGGAATTAACAAACGTGAGCCACCGCGCCGGGAAGCTTCCCAGTTTTTGCATTCCACGGTTATGATATATTTTTTAAAGTTCCCTGGCGGGCCTCTGGGCTCGTCGATAAATAGTTATCTATTTTGGGATACGTTCCTCAAACCTCGATTTATTGAAAGTTTTCAACATGAAGTGCTGTTGAATGTTATCAAAAGGTTTTCTGCTCTATTGATGATAACCATTGTGGTTTGTGATGTTTGTTGGGTTTCGTGATTTTGTGTTAATCCGGCACTTTTGGGAGGATGCTGGGCCATGTGTTTAAGATGTTTCATATGTTGAACCAGGATCGCCCAGGGATGAGTCCATTTGATTATGAGGTGG